GCAGAGCTCCTGATGGGTAGTATCTTGAAAGACGATGAAGACAGTACTGACGAGATCACTCCGCCTGCAGGCGATTTGGCCAGCTTGTTGCAGGTCTACGCAGCCCAAATGCAATCGCATAACCTCCTAGTCAGAGATACGGTGGAGGAGTTCCTGGGATTTCTGCGAACACGGACCTCCTCGGTGGGTCAGAGACCTCCCTTGCCGACGGCTGGTGTTATAATCGCACATGCAAAGTTCCTGTTACGCTGTGCAAGTCAGTTAGTTAATTTGGCCGCCAATTTGGCGGCTGCTCTCAAAGATGTAGGTCCCGACGCAGCCAATGATGACCACCTCTGTGTTATAGACACGGAGCGTCTACAGGCCAGTATTGAATCTGCCGGTGACGCTGTCTGTGAGGCCCTGAAGGGTCTTATATCGCAGACCAAAGAAGTCGCTGGACACCTCTCTGCGCCGGGTCTGGACCTCTCACCCTCCACAAAGTGCTCTGTTCGTCCAATCATCTCGGGGCCTGAGCTGGAGCGTCTGGTAGGTGCCATCAGCCGCGTTGCCTCAACAGCCAGTGATCTCAAACAGTTGGTCGTTTCTGCATCACACGCCGTGTCTGAAAATCGATCCAGTTCCTCCATGAACTCATAGCTGCCGCAGTGTCCGTGGACTGCTTTCAAAGCCCCACTTCCGTACCATATTTATTGCAGACCGTACTTTCACTTCATTCCAGCACAGATGACCAGGTAATATTTTGTTTAAGACACCGCACATACACACGCACACATGCCTGAATCGGCACTTTTGAGGGCTTAAACAAATGCAGGCAATATAAGCCATCGTGTAAAAACCCCACTTTCCGCCAAAATGATTATTCTACTCTATGTACAGAAGTGCACTCCCTAGAGCAACCTGCCCCCAACCATCCTCATAGCCGCCTGCGTACGCATAATATATATATATATATATGTCATTTCCTGGAGGTAGCTTTGGCAAAGCAAATTTGTGATATCTTCCAGCTCCTTTATCAACGCTACAAGCTTTGTGGCCCTTCCACAAGCCGCCTAAACTGCTGGCCCAGTCTAATCTGCGTTTTGCAACTATCCAACATTTATGGCTGTATTTTTTTCAGTTTTCATAAATTATTTTCTATCGCCGACTTCGGTTCTAAAATCTGTCGTGGGTCTTGACAATCCAGGGTAGCCCCGGTTAGGACTTAACAAGACAGGCTTGACGGGGGGCATAGAATCTTCAGATTGGGCTTCTGCATTTGTTATAAGGACGAGTTCAGCGTCGCTAGTGTATTCACAGTTACATCTGACGTGTGTGACTATCGAATTACGCCCTGTTTAAATCTCCAAGTAAGAACTCAATAATAAGGGCATAATTCTGGAATCCACCCGGAGGGAGGTCTTTTTGTGTACAAAACTCGAAGGAGCTGTCTCGGGTGGCTGTTGCCGCTGTTTGATCTCCAGCGCGCTCTTTATCCCGCCTCGGTGGCAAGCCCCGGAATTGGGAGCGGACTAGCGTGTCCTCACTGTCCGTGTGTGTCATTCTACTCTCCTTCTGTCAGGGGTAAAATTATCTTATTAGAGAGTGTCAAGTGCGCGTTCGCCTGTAGCCTGATTAGTGCATTGGGAAAACTGCAACCAGTGGCGTGCGCGAGCAAACGCGTGCATCCGTGTCCTCTCCAGAGGTTACGGTCAGCTCACGTGGACGGTCATCGCCTGTATGCGGTCAGAGCTAACAAACAAAGACACTTGGCTAGACTTGACGCCTCAGGAAAGCCTCCAATTGCTGCTAGCATTTGGTCTGGCTAATATCCTGACAAAATTAACCTTACTAGTAGTGAAAATGCAATTCCCAGGTGGCAAATCAGTAGAAGGAAACCTTTCACTAGGTGGTTCATTGTGTGCCTGGTGTTTCGGGTATTCGTCTTGTCTACTCATCTTTAGAGACTGAGCAGTCTGGCTCATGACTTTCGTTATATGCCACTCTTTTTTCGTGTGCCGGACCGCTGAGTGTGATTCACTGTCACTCTATCTCCGCTGCGACCTCCCAAATGACCGATGGCAGTGCTGTGACTGTCGCCGTGACGCCAGTGCTTGTTTCATCCTCAAGCACTTTGACCGCCTGTTGGATCGTATCGATCCGTGTCACCCTTTGGCTTGATTCACGTCCATACACGTTGACGTAGAGATAGTTGGCGGCCCCGGTGGTTCACGCCGTGCATGCTCCGCATTAAGACCATTCTTAACACCAGATAGGTGGTTGGCAAATGCATGTAGTGATATCCTCAACAGTCGATCAACATCCATGCTTATTTAATGTGCCTTGAAGTGTGATGGTCACCTCAGCAAACTATTTTAACGGCGTCAAAGCTGAAGATGGGCTCCATCTCTACAGTATGATGTACTACCTCCGACTTTGGATCCCACATTTTCTAATAGCCAGCTGACACTCATGCCTTCGCATTTGTGGCTGCCGATCGGTTTCTCCAACATGATTTCACATCTCACGACTGCACCGAAGTCAGCAGACAACGACTGACTTCGCCTGCTTAGATATAGGGTCCTTCGGTTCCATCACTTGTTTCCGGGTTGTGGAGGCAGGCCTGTGGGCGACTCCTATTCCGATTAGCGCAAGAAAGACCCCTTTCATGTACGGGATGCTCTGCCACGCCTTTGGTCAGCAACGCTCCACGGCCCGCGTTTTTGTTGGCGTTCCATTCTTACCCTTCAGTAGTAGTGTGAGTGTTAAGCTGAATGGAAACAGAAAATGCTTAACTTCAGCTGACAGCAGTTGCACTCAGGCTATGAATCGATAGGGGGTCGATTATAGTGTTCTACAGTAAGTCACGGGAACAGGAACCATCAGCAGTATAGGTGGCCGAGAAAATTAGGCTTGCAATTGGGTTTGGATTAGGTAAAGGGTTGATTTAGATGCGCGACAAGATATTTTCAGCCATAACAGAAGATAATTACGTGTTCCTATCACGTCGGCGTCACTAATTGGTATCGATCTAAGTAGTGATTGTGCAGATGTCTACTCATCCAGAAATTTACCGCATAGCCGCATGACGGAACTTTTTTATGCTGCGACCTACCGGGCATAGATAGCCATTGTGTGGAAGTTTTTAATGTGGTTTCCGGTTAGTATTCAAGTACCGTCATCATTCTAAACAGGAGCTATCGTGTATTTCAAAGCGCACATGGAACTACTCACGCCAAACGTTTCAGTAGCTACTGAGAGGACTTCGTGTCCGCGTGGAAGGGCATATTGTTAACCTCGACACGCAGGAGAGCAAAACTGATCTCTAAACGTGGCCTGATTTGTAATGCAACGGCTATGCTTTCGACTTAAAAAAACCCGGCACTTTTGGCGGCAAAATGGCAAACTGACTGCCCTGCTGACGAAAAAATGCGTGCTGTTTATGCTACTGTGTAATTAGGTGCTAACCCTGAAAGAATTCCTGATTTACAGTAGATGGGCCCTTCCATGCACGCCTACTGGCATGTAGACAATTTCGGTGCCCTTTGGTGCCCAACTTAAAGCCAGAACATTTCAGTTCAGTTTACTTAAGAAAAATGTAGGTGTTTATCTTTGAGCTTCCCACTTCTTAACATTCATGTTGTGGTATCAAACGGGTTGGAACAAAAATAACCAGATAAACGAAAGCAAATAGTCACACAAAATCTTAGAACGATGGAACGAACTTTTGTAATTGTCACTTCGCGAATAGTACTTCAGCCTATTAGAGAGGCTGCATAACACGAGCCAGGGACGTGGAACAAAACGGAAAGTAGACAAACACTAAATGAGCGTTTCCAGAAAGAATAAAGATTGAAAAATGATATGCGAGCTTTTTGAAAAGAAAGAACTAGTCATTCATGGGAGGATTAAATATATACGAGGTATACGAGCGTGTCAAGCTTCCTGACGCTCCTCTCGTAAGCGAAATCATGCAATGGCAGGCTTTAGGTTACATCTCCCTGTAAATTGTCAATACACACGAACATACGAATCCCCGGAAGTAATTGAGAAGTCGAAGACGAGTCTATCGCTGACGTTTCGACATCCGTCGAGGATTCATCATCAGAGACATAAGCAAAAACGGGACCCGAAAAGGGTAGGGACCGTTGAGATCAGGATGATCATCACCGAGCTGTGGAAGATGTTGTTCGATTCTCCCTCACTGGTTGCAGGGTCTCCCGATAAGGTGACAAAATCGCCATGATCGCCGATAGTCCGTTGAGGGTCGGCTCAAGGGGACAGTTTAGCGTCCGCCTAGACTTTTATATGCGATCGCTGATGGAATCTTCACCTAATAGGTTTTAATTGCCTTATTATCCTTTGCCCCTCTATCGAGGATAGTTGGGAACAACGCAATTACGTCGGAGCGACTGCAAGATTTCTGAAGACGTGAATTGCCAGATCCGCGGCACCACTGCGGACAAATGGTGCCAATTCTCATGTTGCGGCTCATTCAACGAGACCCGTACACGCATTCAAAATTTGATAAAGTTGAGGTTCTCGCGAGGGGGTGAAACACGTGGGAGTCGCGAAGTACTTGAGTCATGGTTCACGGGTCCCCAATTTAAAAATAAGCGCAACGGCGTGCCCAATCCATATGTGGTGCTGGGGCTCAATTTGGCCAAAGTACGTCGCCGCTGCCCGACGCTCTCTCAACTCATACCGCCACAGACGGGGTTACTCAGGGCATAGGACCTCGCGTGAAAGCAGTTCTCCTGCGGGCCTCGAGCTATGCGCAAATGGACGCGCGCCCCTCACTGCCAGCGAACGCACCCACCTGTTCTCTCCCGTCGTGACCCACTGAGAAGCGATGTAGCAGTCTGACCAATTACTATCAAGGCTGACCGAGACAAAGACAACTTCGGTGGCCACCTGAATTATTGCCACTAGGCCACACTTCGGATCCGATCCTACTAAGGAACGGAGGCACTAGGCCGCGAGTCAAATCTCTTTATAACTATTCTCCTATCCGCCGTACAGAATAC